GTGCGTGTGTATGAATAGAGCTAGCACCGTGTTTAGGGGTGTGTGTGTGTGTGTGTGTTTGCCTGCATGTGTGAGTGTGTGTCTGTGGTCGTGCATGTGAATAGAGCTAACGCCATGCTTAGTTTACTCATCCTTGTGGAAGCGCTGATTGATGTTAATGTAACCCAGTGGTAACCAGCGGCTGTTTGCTGCTACAGCAGAAGGTGAGGGGGAAAAGAGAGAGACTTAAGTTTATGGAGGAAAGAGAAGGACGAGAGCGAGATGAGGAGGATGAGTTTGAGTTATTATTGGGGCTTAGGAAGGGATTCAGGGTTGTTTAATTACCTGAGGGTAACTTTATGTAGCTATTAAACAAATGAGAACACACACACACTTTCACATGTACTCTCTGAGCCCTTGGCATACTTGGCAAATCACAATGCACCAAAGTCGTAAACAAGCCCTGTTAAAAAAAATAATCAAAAATGGCATTGCTTAAATAATGACTGTGAACCCTCTTGAGACATTCACCCAGCTAACACAGAATGTTCCCACAACCAACATTTCCCCCCCACAGAATGTTCTGAGAACCAACATTTGTGATTGGAATGCCTCTTGGGACACTAGCCCAGCTAACATAGAATGTTCCCACAGCCTAAAAACAATGTTCCCTGAATCTTCTGGGAACCTAAATGTGTGAACTGGAGAACTACCTACTAGGCCTACAATATGGCAACCATATGGGCTGTTGTTGCCCAAACACTCTGGGCTACAGGCCAGATGCCCACTGATCTAGCTATTCCTCACCTCCCTAATGGTTAAGGTCAGGATTGGAGGTTAGGTAATCTGATCCTAGATCTGTGGTTAAGCGACAACTTTTATCCCTGACCCCATTGACCCCTGTGGGCCTTAATCCCAGGATTTACCTCAAGCACGCCTCCTGTCCCTCACACACACTCGACCTTGGTTTGAAACGTGCCTGCCTGCAAGAGAGGGCTCAAGGTAGAAGTATCCCCAGTCCCCACTCCTAACCTTAACCAATTGATGGACGATAAGACATTGACCCTGAATGGGTGGTTAGGAACAATTTCTACCTACAGGTAATTCCAAAATAAAGGAAACACCAACATAAAGTGTCTTAATAAGGCATTGGGCCACCACAAGCCAGAACAGCTTCAATGCACCTTGGCATAGATTCTACAAGTGTCTGGAACTCTATTGGAGGGATGCAACACCATTCTTCCATGAGAAATTCCATAATTTGGTGTTTTGTTGATTGTGGTGGAAAATGCTGTCAGGCGCCGCTCCAGAATCTCCCATTTAGTGTTCATCAAATCATTCAGTGACCACTCGTGCCCTGTGGATGGGGGCATTGTCATCCTATGGAGGCATAGCCATGGTAGCCAAAATAATGGCCTGCCCAACATTTTTTTAAACATGACCCTAAGCATGATGGGATGTTAATTGCTTAATTAACTCAGGAACCACACCTGTGTGGAAGCATCTGCTTTCAACACACTTTGTATCCCTCATTTACGCAAGTGTTTCCATTATTTTGGGATCCATCTCATCCAAAAAGTTCACTCACCTGGATGATCATCAAGTCTCTTGGAAAAATGTTCTATGGACAGATGAGTCAAAAGTATAACATTTTGGACGACATGGGTCCCATTATGCCTTGCGAAAACCAAACACTGTATTCCACAGTAAGAACCTTATACCAACGGTCAAGTATGGTGGTGGTAGTGTGATGGTTTGGGGATGCTTTGCTGCCTCAGGACCTGGACGACTTGCCTTAATAAAAGGAACCATGAATTCTGCTCTGTATCAGAGAATTCTACAGGAGAATGTCAGGCCATCCCTCTGTGAGCTGAAGCTGAAGTGCAGCTGGGTTATGCAATCAAAGGAACAGAGAATGCATCTAGTACTGAAAGCACAAAAGCACAAGTACAAGTACATCTAGCACAAAGCACAAGCTACAGCTAGCTAGCACTGCAGTGCATTAAATGTGGTGAGTAGTTGACTCAAATAGAGAGAAAGACAATAGTTTAACAGTTTTGAACAAATTAATGAATTCAAAAATTAAGGAAAAGCAGCAGAGAGAGACATAGCTATATTTTGTATTTTTTTTAACTTTCACTTACTTAGCTAGCTAATGCAGCTAGCTAATTTAGCCTACTCAAACACCGGGCTCAAATAGAGAGGAATGCTATTTATGTTAGCTAGCTGGCTAAGGCTATCCAACACAGGAACTCTTCCAAGTCAAGGTAAGCTTTTGGTTGTATTAATTTATTGCCACCGGGGCCCGCGGGTGTAACTGCTAAATTGCTTGCTGTACACTGCGTGATTGTAACGGGTTTACTAACATGTTAGTTCTAGTAGCTATGTTGACTACAACGTTAGCTAATATGGTGACATTGACACGATGTAGGCTGTGTGGAGCGGTTACGGTATGAAGGTTTGGCTTGGAAATATTTTTTTGCCTGGTCACAGACAGCTGATATGTTGTGCACTGAAGTCCACAAGCGAAGGAAAAAGGTGAGAGGACGAGAGCGCGTTGATGCGAGAAGGAATTATACAACAAGCAAGTGATGATGCTGTTTGTATGTGGCTGCTATGAAAGTAAACTGTGTGTGCGGATAATCAGGGGTGTATTCATTCAGCCGATTCTGTTGAAAAACGTTTCTTAAACGGAAACAAACGGAACGAAACGGGGATAAACCTACCTGAATTTGTCCAATAGAAACTCTTGTTTGCAACTGTTTGGACTAATGATTACGCCCTAGATCAGCTAGATGCAGGCAAGAGTGTGCAAGGCGGTATTGAATGTGTCACTGTCTGTCACCTTGATTACTCCAATTTGTCTATCGACCTGTGCACCTACATTATAAACTTTCATTCGTAGGCTAGGTTGTAGCAACCTCATGATGGGTATAGGGAACATTTGAGTATTATGTAGGCTAGTAGCCTAAACCTGTCGATGTTACATTGAGCTGGGTGAATGGAATATGAATGAAAGTCATCCAATATGCTGTAATAGAAATAAGGCCATGCTCATTAAAAGAAAAAAATGGTCCTCCCTAATCTTAAACGGCACCGACCACCACTGATGTAAATATTATGTTACAGTCTATTTATGGCACCTAGAAGCAGATATAGCATAGCCATGCTTATAAAGACGGTGGCTGGAAGCCTTGCTGCACCAGATATCCTCGACACACTCATAAAGCTGTCTGTAATCTGAATTAGTCTAAGATGCCTCGGAGCGAACCAACACTCTGATAGAGGGGTTTAATGCCAACATTCGTGAATCTAAAATTGTGTTGAATCTTTTTCTCTTTTGGAACTCCCACCACTGTCAGCGACCCCCAGTTTATTTCCACGAGCCAGACCTAATTAAGGCTAACCAAAGGGCTTTTCCCATTACGGAGCCAAACCAAACTTTACTGAGCTGGGTTGCTTGCACATCCAACATTCTGTAGTTGCTGGAACTGTGCTGAAAAGGACAATGTGCAAAGAAAATATGTCAGCCAGCACAGTTTGGTTTGGGTGGGCATGATAGTGTGAACAGGGTCAAAGGGTTGTGTACGGTCTGTGTTGTATTTGTGTGGTTCTGTATATTAGTGTGACGCGTGGTGATGGTTTAAAATGAATGCAGTGCAATTGACTCTATGAGGCGGATAGGAAAGTATGTCTGAAAGGTCAGTGTGTGACGTGTTGTGTTGGGAAGGGACCGGACAGTTGTTGTTGACTGTTACTAGGCTGGTTTAAAAAAGGTTGGTGTGTCAGTGTGGATGTCTATGTGTGTGTTTGTGAGTTTAGATACAGCCTTAGATACTGATCCTACATTGTGTTCGTTGTCTCTTTAGAGACTCATTAGGGATCGCCTTGTGAAGAATGGACAGAATGTTACTAACAGAAATGGAGTGTGTGTGTGTTTGTTTTGTTAGGATAGGATAAGATAGGATAGGATAGGATAGGATAGGATAGGGAGTTAATGTGATGGAGAAACAGACAGTCACTGTGAGGCGATATTGATTTCCTCAGTAGCACTACTCTGGCTGTCAATGCTTTCTGAAGATCTTCACTTTAAAAGTGTGTGTGTGTGCATTTGTTTTACCTATGCCTTGTCTGTGTCTTACCTAAACAACATGATATTGTCAGCTCCTCTGTCTGTACAGGAGGATCCCTTTTTTTCTATTCCTGTTTTATATATGATCCTGTTGAGGCTGGTGGGAGGAGCTATTGGAGGATGGGCTCATTGTAATGGCTGGAATGGAATCAATGGAATGGTGTCAAACACATCAAACATATGGAAACCACATGTTTGACTCCGTTCCATATATTCCATTCCAGCCATTACAATGAGCCCGTCCTCCTATAGCTCCTCCCACCAGCCTCCACTGATATGATCCTACATCCCTTCCCGTGTCCGCTCAGACAGTGAGCAGTGTTTTCTCTGAATATGACTCTGTCTGTGGATAATGATGTAATAAAGACTACCGGTAACTCTATGTTCTCGTTTCAAAACAAGTACATTTCCACCCTCCGACTCTCAGCTTCATGGTAAAGCCATGTGAATGGTCTGTTTCCTTGAATGCTCTTGTTCTGGAAGTATCTAGTTGATGCTCATAATTTTGTGTGTGACTAGATGCATTTGTGTGGGTGTGTGTGCATGCATGCATTGGTGTAGTCAGTGTATACATATGTATGTTGAAGCTATCAGCGTGTGATGTTGGTATGGAGCCTCTTAGCTGTGTGTTGACCTCTGACCATTTACAGGAGAGTGTCACTGTGCTCCTGTTGTGCTCCTGTTGTTGCGGATACAAGAAGTGTGGGTGTGGGTGCGTGCGTGCCATTGGATAGCTCTTCCATGTACATACACTGTCACTCACACAGTGATCACTTGTGGTTCATAAAAAAATGCAGCCAGATTTACAGTAGATGATTTGCTTGTCACAGCGCAACACTGACATTTTGTTTCACTTTGCACATTTTGTTCCTCTCTCCTCCTCTCAGAGATGGCGTTCTTCCCTGTCCTCCTCCTCCTCCTCTCCGTGGTCCAGCGTGGTTCCTCCCAGGACCCTGATGAGGACTCGTCGGCAGTGCCCCGGGGGTGTGGCTGGGGCCTGGTGCGCCCCTACACCCTCCTCTGCGACTTGGACTCTGTTTGGGGCGTGGCGGTTGAATCTGCAGCGGCCGGTGGTGCCCTGGCGGCCATTTTACTGGGCCTGATCCTCCTCTGCCGACTACACCACGTGAGCGAGGCGGAGAAGCGCAGCGGCGTGGGACCCATTCTCCTCCTGCTCCTGGGCATCCTGGGCCTGTTCGGCCTCAGTTTCGCCTACCTCATCGAGCGTGATGAGCAGCTGTGTCTCCTGCGCCGCGCCCTCTGGGGCTTGCTCTTCGCCCTGTGCTTCTCCTGCCTGCTGGTGCAGGGTGTGCGGCTCCGGAGGCTGGGCCGCGAGCGCCGGAGCCCGGGGGGCTGCGCTCTGACCGGCTTGGCCCTGGGGCTGAGCGCAGTCCAGGGGATCATCGCCGCTGAGTGGCTCCTGCTCACGGTGCTCAGGGAGGGCAGAGCGGCCTGCCAGTACCTGCCTCTGGACTTCTCCTTAGCCTGTAGCTATGTGCTTGCACTACTGCTAGCCGCGCTGGGGGCGGCCTCCTTCGCTCTCTGTGGGAAGACCCGGCAGTGGCGCTGTAACGCGATCTGGCTGCTCGCCGCCTGTTTGTTGTCCCTCCTCCTCTGGGTTGCCTGGGTGGGCTTCTATCTCTATGGTAACGCCTGGCTGGGGCGGTCCCCGGACTGGGACGAGCCAGCGTTGGCGATAGCGCTGGTGGCTCAGGGTTGGCTCCTCCTCCTGTTCCACGCCGTGCCCGAGGCACACTCCTGTCTCCGCCCCCCGCCGCAACCCACCGCCCCCGACTATTTTGACACGTCTCAGGCCCCGTCCCGCATGAGGGAGACCAGCTTCGATGAGGAAATCCCCCTCTCACACAGGCAGTATGCGGAGAACCAGGGCTACGGCTTTGACGAAAACACTGCAGGTAACAAGAGACTTTAACTTTCAAATATGCATTAAAATGTATGCTTACCAGCTCAGTACAGCACAACTGAGGTTTTACATGCATGTTTCTGTGTATGGGGTTGGATGTAGAACATTGTGACTCAGTGATATTACCATACTGGGCTAAAAATAACTATATAAGAGCAGTGGTTCTTGTTGTGGTACAAGCAGTGCCTGTACAGCATGTGTTAAAAGTACAGATTGGGCATCTGTTCCTGTGTCTATCTTAAAGTAGGATGCATGAATGAGTGTGTTTGCAGTGTGTGTGTTTCTGAGACAAAAGAAGAGCATAACGTTGTTCCTCTGCTGTGCCAGGTCTGAGGAGTGGAGGTAATCATAATGGTAACACAGCGCCCAGACCCAGTGCCCCCTTCCGCAGCAACGTGTACCAGCCCACTGAGATGACCATGATCCTGAATGGGGGAGCGGTGAGTTCTCATATTGTACGTTTACACATCCGACCACGCTTCACAAACTCTATTAAAACTTGCATTATGATCCTGAGCAAGAAAGCAGTGTAGACACTTACACATACAGTACCAGTCAAAAGTTTGGACACACCTACTAATTTCCCCTCTGAACAATTGATATTGAGATGTGTCTGTTACTTGAACTCTGTGAAGCATTTATTTGGGCTGCAATTTCTGAGGCTGGTAACTCTAATGAACTTATCCTCTGCAGCAGAGGTATCTCTGGGTCTTCCATTCCTGTGGCCGTCCTCATGAGAGCCAGTTTCATCATAGGGCTTGATGGTTTTTGCAACTGCACTTGAAGAAACTTTCAAAGTTCTTGACATTTTCCGTATTGACTGACCTTCATGTCTTAAAGTAATGATGGACTGTTGTTTCTCTTTGCTTATTTGAGCTGTTCTTGCCATAATATGGACTTGGTCTTTTACCAAATAGGGCTATCTTCTGTATACCCCCCCAACCTTGTCAAAACACAACTGATTGGCTCAAACGCATTAAGAAGGAAAGAAATTCCACAAATTAACTTTTAAGAAGGCACACCTGTTAATTGAAATGCATTCCAGGTGACTACCTCATGAAGCTGGTTGAGAGAATGCCAAGAGTGTGCAAAGCTGTCTTCAAGGCAAAGGGTGGCTAGAATCTCAAATATGAAATATATTTTGATTTGTTTAACACTTTTTTGGTTACTACATGATTCCATATATGTTATTTCATAGTTTTGATGTCTTCACTATTATTCTACAATGTAAAAAATAGTAAAAATTAAGAAAAACCCTTGAATGAGTAGGTGTGTCCAAACTTTTGACTGGTAGTGTATATAGAAACATACACTCACTCACTTGGGCAGTGAGCACACACACACAAGTTTACACACAGATACACACCTGTCACACACTACCATTCACAGGTATACAAACTCTGATTATTATTCTGCGCAAGAAAGCCACACATATTAGGTATGAAGCCACATATACACAACACATATACACACCTTGCATGCATGCATGCATGCATGTGTGTGTGTGTGTTTGTGTGTGTGTGTGTGTGTGTGTGTGTGTGTGTGTGTGTGTGTGTGTGTGTGTGTGTGTGTGTGTGTGTGTGTGTGTGTGAGGGAGGGAGTGGGTTCACTGGGCTGCAGACTAGAGCCATCTCTTCAGTGTGAGTGATGCAGCTGTGTCCCCGGCCCAGTCAGGCCCTCTATAGCCCCAGGATGGATGGGTGAGCTCCCTGGCGCACGATACTACCCTCCAATCACCTCGCTATAAATAAACCCTGCCGACCTGGTAGAATCTGGAGCCACGCGTCCAGAAAAACGTTGAGCCAATGTTCAGCTTACGCTCTGGGAACGTTTTGAAATGGCTCCCTCCCAGTCTCTGCTCTGACACCTGCCACCCACATTAGAGGCAGAATCTGAAACCAGAAAACAGCCAGAAAACACTGAGCCACCGCCCAGTTAAAGCTCTGGGAACGTTTTCCTGTGAACCAAATGGTCTCACTCCCAGTATTCTGCTCTTAGACCTGCCACCTACATCAGAGTGGTATTAATGTGCTTTAGTAGGGAGTAGGGAAAGGAAAGGAGGGGGAGTTCTGATGGTCTCTCCTGCATTAAAGAGGACTAGCTGCTGAGACTGAATGAAGAGAAAAAAGGGGAGAGAGGAGGAAGATAAAAGAGGAAAGAGGAGGGTTTAGAAGATGTGATACAGGCCACATATTCAAAATGCAACCTCTTATCAGGAACGTGTGGTGTGTGTGTGTGTGTATGTGTATATTACCAAACTGACGTCCCATCTCTCTCTCTTTCTCTCTCTCTCCCCCCTTTCACAGGTCCCCTCCGCACCCCCGACCTATACGGGCCGGCAGCTGTGGTGAAGGACAGAAATGGAGAAGAAGAGGATGAGAGGAAGAGGAAGGAAGAATGGGGTGATGAAGAAGGGATGAAGGGTCCTTGGACAGAGGAATAACCCAGAGAGGATAACTAAACATGGACACCATCAGGACCCCCTCCCCCACCCTCCCCCAGCTCTCTATGTGTGTATGGGGACAGACAGTTAAACTGATGACATACTGAGGGCTTACACACACCACCCACCCTGTGGTAATCAAGCACACCAACCAACCACTGAATGAGTGTGACTGGGGGGGGAGAGCAGGTATGGAGGACAGATCAAAACATTACTGGTAGTTTTGAAGTTGAATCTCTGTAGGAGATGTTAGACTTAATAATAACCCTATTTTGGCTGCAAATGCAGTGGAGACCATTTCCATCTGGGAGACGTGAGATTTGAAATGTTGACAGTCAGGTTTCTTTTGTATGAGTCAAGTTTACTCCCATGAGACTACTAAACCACTGTATAATTTCTGAAAAACTGTGAAACCTCTCTCCCTCTTGAGATATTTGCTCTGTTTTTGTTGTTTATTTTGGGAGAAACTCTTCTAAAGCAGAATGTTTTGCTCTGTCCTCCATCCTGCCAAAATAAAGGAAACACCAACATAAAGTGTCTTAATAGGGTGTTGGGCCACCACGAGCCAGAACAGCTTCAATGCACCTTGGCATAGATTCTACAAGTGTCTGGAACTCTATTGGAGGGATGCGACACCATTCTTCCATGAGAAATTCCAACATTTGTTGTTTTGTTGATGGTGTTGGAAAACGCTGTCTCAGGCACCGCTCCAGAATCTCCCACAAGTGTTCAATTGGGTTGAGATCTGGTGACTGAGACGGCCATGGCATATGGCTTACATCGTTTTCATGCTCATCAAACCATTCAGTGACCACTCGTGCCCTGTGGATGGGGGCATTGTCATCCTATGGGGGCATAGCCATGGTAGCCAAAATATTGGCCAAAATAATGGCCTGCCCAGCATTTTTATACATGACTCTAAGCATGATGGGATGTTAATTGCTTAATTAACTCAGGAACCACACCTGTGTAGAAGCACCTGCTTTCAATATCTCATTTTAGGGATGGGCATTTGAAATAATTTCACTATTCGAATAATAGCATGGTTTTTGGGGGGGATATCTGGATAATCTAGTTGTTTAAACTTGGGAATTGGATTGGCTGTGCTGCCTGCGCTACTTGCGTGCCGCTTGCTTGCAGCAGTGTGATTGGCAGGTGAGTTTTACGAGAGAGAGAGTAGCCATACAGACTCACGCTAGTTAAACAAACTTGTAGATTCCGTAGGTTATCGATCATCCCATCTGGTAGAGCCTGTCTTGACTGCATCAAATCAATCTGAAGAAGCTAGCTAAGATAGCCAGCTAGCTACCTAGGCTAAAAGCAATTAAGGCTATGTTGCTGTGCTTCCCGTCCTTGTCTACAGTAACTCTATTCAGATTAAATAACAGCCTACCTGATGGTTGCTCGTAGTTGTAGCCTACTCCTTTTCATTTAACTAACTTAATTCTGTAATTTTAATTCCATTTTGCATTGATTAGAGATCTCCCACGTTGCTTACTACACATGGAGCCACTGAATGTAGACAGTACCACTTTGATTGGCCAACAATAACAACCGCGTGAAACCCGTATAGGCTACTACGGTATGTACTTTTATGGGGCGCATGTCATAAAAACTACATTTAAAAGATTGTTTTATTGAATTAAGAATTTCAAAATGTCATGGCATATCCTTGTGTGTAGCAATGTCACATAGATCATTTAATTTAGACAAAGCCTTTTCATTGTTAAAATAGATGTGTTCTTTTTTTCAAATACTAACGTCCATTTGGATATTTGAATATCTGAATAACAGTGCCCATCCCTACCTCATATACTCAAGTGTTTCCATTATTTTGTCAGTTACCTGTGTGTGTGTGTGTGTGTGTGTGTGTGTGTGTGTGTGTGTTTGTGTGTGTGTTTACCCCCTCTACTCTGGACCCCAAAAACCAAAATACTCCTTGTCTAAACACTGTGTTCTGCTCCACCCCTCCTCCCTCTGAGTAACCTGGACGCACTTCTACTGAGTAACCTGGACTCACTTCTACTGAGTAACATGGACTCACTTCTACTGGGTAACATGGACTCACTTCTACTGAGTAACCTGGACGCACTTCTACTGAGTAACCTGGACTCACTTCTACTGAGTAACATGGACTCACCTCTACTGAGTAACCTGGACTCACCTCTACTGGGTAACATGGACTCACTTCTACTCGTCTTTCCACCTGCATGGAGAACTAACCCCAAACTGTGAACCCACCCAGGCTGCGGTCCAACCAACCATAACCACAATATGACCACGAACTACTATACACCTATCCAGCTCACCTAGCACCTGAGGGACAGAGCTAAGCTGCTACTGGATGAACAGTAGGAACCGGGGGAATCCGGGGATCCTGATTGGATGAACAGGGTGTCAGTCAGTGGGACTGTGTATATAGGTCAGACAGGCTGTGTTTTCCCCCCACATTCTCCTGTGACCACAGAGACTTTCTGAACCAGCAGGACTGAACCAACTGTCACTTTATATCAGAGAGAAATGGGTCTGCGACGAGGAGATAGTTTTCCCTTTTACTGTTTCCTTTTTTCAAAAGTGTGTGTGCGCATAGAGATAAAAACGTGTTCTATCTGTTTGTGTGTGTGTGCATGTGTGTGTGCGCTCGTGCGTATGTGTGTTAATGATTTTATCAGTGTTGGGAGGATATACAACAACTGTACAATACACAGCCCCAGTCCCGTTCCAGTCCTGGTTATGGCTCTCCCATTTCCTCCAGACCAGTTTCCAGTGAGCCTGAGAAATGGATCCAGAGTTCCAGACGTCTTGGTCAGCTCCAGATACATAACCTCCATACTGTGACCGTCAGCTAGCTACCTAGGCTAAAAGTAATTAAGGCTATGTTGCTGTGCTTCCCATCCTTGTCTACAACAACTCTATTCAGATTAAATAACAGCCTACCTGATGGTTGCTCGTAGTTGTAGCCTACTCCTTCTCATTTAACTAACTTAATTCTGTAATTTTAATTCCATTTTGCATTGATTAGAGATCTCCCATGTTGCTTACTACACATGGAGCCACTGAATGTAGACAGTACCACTTTGATTGGCCGACAATAACAACCGAGTGAAACCCGTATAGGCTACTACGGTATGTACTTTTATGGGGCGCATGTCATAAAAACTACATTTAAAAGATTGTTTTATTGAATTAAGAATTTAAAAATGTCATGGCATATCCTTGTTTGTAGCAATGTCACATAGATCATTTAATTTAGACAAAGCCTTTTCATTGTTAAAATAGATATGTTATTTTTTTCAAATACTAACGTCCATTTGGATATTTGAATATCTGAATAACCGTTCCCATCCCTACCTCATATACTCAAGTGTTTCCATTATTTTGTCAGTTACCTGTGTGTGTGTGTGTGTGTGTGTGTTTGTGTGTGTATGTACCCCCTCTATATTGGCTCTACTCCAAGACTCTGGACCCCAAAACCCAAAATACTCCTTGTCTAAACACTGTGTTCTGCTCCACCCCTCCTCCCTCTGAGTAACATGGACTCACTTCTACTCGTCTTTCCACCTGCATGGAGAACTAACCCCAAACTGTGAACCCACCCAGGCTGCAGTCCAACCAACCATAACCACAATATGACCACAAACTACTATACACCTATCCAGCTCACCTAGCACCTGGAGGACAGAGCTAAGCTGCTACTGGATGAACAGTAGGAACCGGGGGAATCCAGGGATCCTGATTGGATGAACAGGGTGTCAGTCAGTGAGGAGGGGATCCTGATTGGACAGACAGGGTGTCAGTCAGTGGTACTGTGTATATAGGTCAGACAGGCTGTGTTTTCCCCCCCACGTTTTCCTGTGACCACAGAGACTTTCTGAACCAGCAGGACTGAACCAACTGAGAGAAATGGGTCTGCGACGAGGAGATCGTTTTCCCTTTTACTGTTTCCTTTTTTCAAAAGTGTGTGTGTGCGCATAGAGATAAAAACGTGTTCTATCTGTTTGTGTGTGTGTGCATGTGTGTGTGTGCGCGCTCGTGCGTGTGTGTGTTAATGATTTTATCAGTGTTGGGAGGATATACAACAACTGTACAATACACAGCCCCAGTCCTGTTCCAGTCCTGGTTATGGCTCTCCCATTTCCTCCAGACTAGTTTCCAGTGAGCCTGAGAAATGGATCCAGAGTTCCAGACGTCTTGGTCAGCTCCAGATACATAACCCCCATACTGTGACCGTCAGCCTATATATAGACGAGCCCAGACTGGGGTCTGGAACTGCAGGTGTCCTGACCCCTGTGAATGATCAGATATAGTATACTGTGAGAGATCAAATATAAGCCTGTGGGGAGGACTGGAGAAGGAAAGGGGGATGGGTAGCTAGAGAGAGAGGAAGGGAGGAGCCAGTCCTGAGGGGTTACAATAGTCTGTGTGACGGCTACATTGCTGTGACTTCCCCCCCAATCAGCCTGCATATCTGTGTGACAAAATGGCTCTTTCCCCAGTGTGTGTGTGTGTGTGTGTGTGTGTGTGTGTGTGTGTGTGTGTACAGTCTGTGTACAGTCTCTGTGTGTGTGTGTGTGTGTGTGTGTATGTGGGGAAG